GGCCCGCGCGGCGCTGCCCCCGCCCTGCGGAAGCGGCGGCAGAGCCGTGTGCTGCTCAGGACTGACCAGTGCAGGCAGGGGAAAAGTGCAGCTGAGCCCCTGCCGCTCCGGCCGGGCTTGTCCCATCCATTAAGTTCATCACCGGGGCACAGAAGGGAATTGGTGAGGTTTTATTCACCAAGGCGCCCCCGGGGTTACAAGAAATAATGGCCACAAGCTAGCAGAGAGCAGATTTAGACTGGACATTAGAAAGAACTTCTTCACAGTTCGAGTGGCCAAGGTCTGGAACGGGCTCTCAAGGGAGGTGGTGCTCTCCCCTACCCTGTGGGTCTTCAAGAAGAGGTTTAGATAAGCATCTAGCTGGGGTCATCTAGACCCATAACTCTTTCCTGCCTATGCAGGGGGTTGGACTCGATGATCTATTGAGGTCCCTTCTGACCCTAACCTCTATGAATCCCGAGTGGCACACAGCTCTGCTGGCTGGTGCAGACCCGGCCGAGCTCTTCCTGTGCCCAGCAGCACGTGGGAAGCCGACTTCAGCTGCATGCCGCTTTTTCTGGCCAGTACAGACTTGGCTGGGTCCGTCCCATCCGGAGCAGCATGCGGCTGAAGCCAGCTTCCCACGTGCTGCTGGGGACGGGGCGAGCCCGACTGAGTTGGCACTGGCCAGCAGAAGCAGCGCCGGAGCCGCCTCCTTTTGGGACCCGCTGGCGCAGGTAGGGGGAAAGTTCTGGGGGAGTTCTGATGCCCCTGAAACTCCACTGCTGGGGCAGGATGTTAGAGGGATCACAACCCCTTGCTATCTGGTAAGTTGTGCAAGGGGAGGGACTTCTGGTGACAAAGGTCAGGGGGCGGGACTTCCAGTCCCAAGATGGTGACCAGGGGGTGGACCAACTGAAGGCGTGGGGCTGCCCATGCGGCCCTTGACAGCTCGCCAAAACTCATCAAGCGGCCCTCTGCCCGAGATAATTGCTGGCCCCGGCTTAGATTAACCTGTGAAGATTGAATCAATTCAGGATTTTTGACTGTCTGTACTTAGCCTTTTTTGTGAACTGATCAAATAGTCTCATTTAGCAGGTGTTTTCATTGCTCAAGATGAGCTCTTAAGAAATCCATTTGAAATCTACAGTTGCTGCCTTTTTCCTGCTTTTTTTAATTTCTATAAGAAAAAAATTACAAAATGTTCAGAAAAAATTCTGCACACATACTTAGAATGGATAAATTCATGTAACTAAGACTAGAGAGGGGCCCTGTCATTTAAAGTTTGAGTCTTGGATCCAGGCTACCTCAAAGTTTAGAAGTGTTGGGAATAGAGGTGCACCAGTACATTGGTCCCATATTGGATCGGCACCAATATAAGGAAAATTGACTATATCAGCAGTCAAGTTTTGGGGTTGATGTGGCTGATAAATGTTCCATGCATGCGCAGCCCCAGTGCAGCAAGCCGGTGACCAGGGGCGTAGCCCGGCAGTGTGGAGAGCAGCTGGGTGCAGCTGGTAAGTCTGTTGCGAGGGAAAGGGTGTGGGGCAGATTGAGGCTCCTGCGGTGAGGGAGGGAGTGGGGATGGGTCAGGGGCAGGCACTGCACAGCTGGGGCAGAGCAGAGAA